GGAATTGTAGAAACACACTTTTAAAAGTCAGTGCTCCTAACACATGATGCAAGGGATGGAAAAAGTCCAGGGTGTCACTACCCCATGTAATTAGCCAGGACAATCCACTATGTACGGGCAGAAAAGAAACTGTCTAATTTAGAAGCAAAGATAACAAAGGCTTTCAAATGTTCTGGTTAGAAAATGAATGGGAGGGCAATATGAATTATTAAATATTATTCCATAATACCAAGTTATAAAACGTTTATTCAGAATTAAGAGGACCAAATGTGCAAAATTATAAGCAGGAGCAGACCTGAGGCAGAAAAGCAACAGCAGTGTAAATGTGGTGACTCAGCGGGTTCATTATTTAAAACTGGCTTTATGGTGCCTTAATTAAAGTGAGATAGGATATATGAATTACTATTTTTTTATTTTAAAGAGAAAAAAACAATAAAAATGATACACAATTTCAAAACAAGATGACAGGAAATTAACAATGGTTATTATATTGCATGTTGTTATCTTCAAAGTAGTTGCTTAGATTACCAGATGCACCCAGGCAATACTGATCAAACAATATAAACACTAACGGTTCCTTTCAATGAACTAATTAGAAATTAGCAGTACAATTATCTTAGCTATCTTGTGTGTGTGTGTGTGTGTGTGTGTGTGTGTGTGTGTGTGTGTGTGTACCCCTTCTTTTCTTCTTTCCCCCATCCCAGTTGTTCTTTCCTATCATTATTATTATTATTACTAATTTTTTGAAAGCAGGTAAGGGAAGCTACTTGCAATATCTAAATGATATAGAATAAAAAGATAAGTAGAGGTCAAAGGAAAGAAGAAAAGATTAATTTTACTAGTAAATGAGAAAAATATTAATGGAAACTTCACTATATTTTTTCAAAAAGAAAAATAGGGACCTGCTTTGGTCAGCTGCATTTATTTTACTTCCCAATTTTATTAATGTATTGTCTGAAGTTCTTCCTGAAGGTGAATTTTAAACAACTCTAACATAAGTTGTAGGTGCCCATACCTACCTTAACTAGCCTCATTCTATCCCATCCCAATAGAGATGGTAATTATTACCTTTAAAAAAAATTAATTTAGACCATAAATTAAGACTAAGGAAAATGCTTCAACACTTTATACACTTTTGCTCTTCCCAAATTCCTAGCCTACTATACGGTACAAAGGAATGTAACAAATAGATGCTTTATGGATAATGAAAAGCTGGGCAGAGGAACCTGGATAAAGAAATGGTGAAAGCCAGGACCTCCCACTAGTCAGTTTGACTCACTGCACTCTTCACTACCATTTACACTTCCATCCTTGTACTGCCCTACCCTCCCTCTCCATGCACCGCTTCACGTTGTGTTCTCCTTAAGCACAGATCTGTACCTTACTCACATTGTATCACAGGTGCAGCCCTGGGCCAGACACATAAAAAGCTGCTTAAAGTGTGTGGAATAGACGAAATGATCCTTACCATCTAACTTGCCCAGGGGGGAAACACTCTTAATTCCATGAGCTTTTAATGAAACACACTCTGATATGACACTCTTAATTTGCAATGTATCAAAGACTGGCATAAAAATAGACACGATCTTTGCTCTCCAAAGACTTTATAAACTGTGCCTACAAAGAAGGCAGGCAACATGGAGCTTCTAATGGGAGCCAGGACTCATGAGGAAACAAGTCCCAGCTCTCCTGCTACACTTGTGTGTCTTTAGACATGGAGATGAATGCTTCTTCACTGTAATATGAAATAAAGGCACTGGGCGAGATTAGCATTTTTTTCAGGAAAAAAATCTGTAAGTATAGATATCTTTTAAAAAAATAAATAGTACTGAAACTTTAATTCTATATTTTTAAAAAATAAAAGTGGAGGTGATTTGGTCAGTTGAATAGGCCTGATGCTTACAGGAGACAGAAATGTCCCCATCCTTTTTCCCCTTTCCCCTCACTCACACCCTGAAATCCTAGGTGTCCATGGAAACCAGTTAGAATGCCATGAATTAAAATTCCCCATGATTCTATATATTCAGTTTCTTCCAAGGTTCTAAAAATCAACATGAAGACACTTCGCATGCCAGCATACATTACCACAGAAAATCTGCCGCAGCTGCATCTTTTTGGTAACTACTTTCTAAACTAAACTATCAGAGGTTTATCTTTCAAGAATGCAGTTCTTTGCATATGATGAATAATCTTTCTAAGGCCTTTCTCCATCCCTTCATTGTCCCCCTCAGTGCTGGAGATTAAACCTAGGCTGTCCCACGGGCTAATTACACACATTAACGCTGAACTAAATGCCCAGCCTTTTCTATAGGTTTATATGGAGTGTTCACTACATATAGGCACTATAATCTGCAGAGAGAGAGATAAAGGCACAAATCTACACATTCATCACTTCCTTAAAAGAGTTTACAGCTTAGTGATACCTTACTACAAATAACCGCCATGGAAAAGAAAGTGACAGTATCATCAAATAAAGCACCATGGATGTGTAAAGGCTGAGATGATTTGCGGCTGGCAAGAAGGAAAGGTTCCAGGAATGAGCGTTATCAAAGCTGGGCTGCGATGGACAGCGAGGACAAGTTGCAAGCAGAGGTCACAGAGCTCAAAAAGGCAGGAAACCATGGGAGGAGCACAGGAAACTGCACCTACCTGCAGCCTGGTTGGAATGAGGACTGTGTGAAGACAGTAATGGAGGATAAAATATATTACAGGCAGAATTTGCAGGCCTGAAGTACAGCAGAGGAACAGATTAATGCAGAAGAAAGAGACTGGAGGCAGAGGCACCTGAGAGGAAGCAATGCTGATGTATGGCTGGCAACTGCCACAGAGAAGAAGTATGCTGTGTTCGGGGCCATTTCCACAGTAGTGAAACGGTAGATGGGATGAATGATAATGTAGAAGCTAAAATCCAGGATACAGGAATGGAAAACATACAAAAAAGACTTGAGACAAATGAGGAGTACTAAGTACTAGGAGAAATGTCCTGTAGGAAAATGCAAATATTGAATTGAAACTTGGAAAGAAATCGTTGAAAAGGATACTTGTGATTTCATCTACTTCCTTCATTTTATAGGTAAAGAAATGAAAGTTAATTATGTGATAGACTGGAAGAATAGTATCTTATACATTATAGAGGATAAGAAAGCACATGAATAAGAGATAGGAAAAACATAAAATAGAAACTGGAGCATTAAAAGCTACAGCATGAGGTATCCATTGAAGGGTAATTTGCCTAATGGTTAGTATTTTACATTTCCCAGTGCTATCCCTATTGGCTCCATAAGACTCAACAGTTGCTCCATCTTACAAATGGGGAAACTGAGGCCTAGAGGTTAACTTGGCCAGTGACCCAGCCAGTACAAACTCAAATCTACCTGACTCTGGGATCTGGGTTCCTGAGCAGACTGCTCTGCTGATGTGTCAAGAGGGCCGCAGAAAAATCGAGTTCTTGAGTAAACTTCCCCTCATCTCTGTATGCTTGGATAGAAGCTAAGATAAAGCTTTCTTTCACCAAAGTCTAACTACACAGAAATACCTAAGTAAAATTTATAGAAACAAATTCAGTGTAGCAGGTTCTCAAGATTATACTTGCTTTGTAAAATAACTTTATAAAATGATACTCAAAATATTCTCTACTCCAGTGTGAATATATTTTCAATTGTTTCCTTTTCATTTACGATCTCCAGTGGGAAAATTCTGCATAGGTCAGAATATACCTTCAACATTTTGGCAAGATTCTAAGTATATTCACAAAGTTTTGCTAGGAAACCTACCTTCCTCCATGAAAGGTAAGTCTAAATATAGTAGTACCTTAGATTTTAGACCATCGATTTCTAATAATGTTAAATTTTCCTTGAAATAGTACACTGTCTTAAATGAGTCATTACTTATGAACACATACAAGCTGTTACACATACATGAAAATACTAAACTCTTAAACTAACTCAATTGGAAACACTACCAAATAACTCTGTAGTTAGCAAAAACAATTTTAAGGGGCACTGACTTTTAAAATTCACTCTAGCATATTATGTTTGAGATAAAGTCAACTGCTAAACCACTTTCCCCAATGAGCATACGAGAGAACTGAGTTCACTGCAGAATGTCGTGGGGCAACAAGGTTAAAAAAATGAGTGCTATGTATCTGTGAAAATAATAAATTTACATAGGTTTTCTATTTTAAAAATATGTTTTGACCTAAGTTTTTGGTAAATTGGTTAAAATGTAGTAACGTAAATTGATTAAACTGTAGTAAACACTGTCCCCTAGCCATTTTTGAATTCAAGTTTTAATTGCTATATTGATTAGTGGAAGTCTAGCAAAAATGATATTGTTGGTTTTTCTAAGGTGCAATTTATCTGCAATAATATTTCCCAAAGTATGGACCTTGAAATACTACATTTTGCTATCAAACATATTCAGGAAACATGAAATCTCTGTTCTCCATCAGAGATTGATAATATACAATAGCACTGCAAAAGCTCCTAGGAGTTTTAAAGTTTAAAAAAAAATAGCTTTATTTAATCCATCATTTCTCAAGCATATCTATCCACAGAAGCTTTTTATTCTTTTTGTGGTTATTATCTATCAGTGGCATAGGATGATTAGTATCATAGGAAATAGGACTGGAAGACTTTGATCTATGATAATAGGACGAGAGAATTAAAACAGGCGGTTGGTACTCAAATCGTATGTATTGGGTTTTGGGATAAATCTAATTTTATCAGAAGATTTTCTTTTAGAGTACTGGATTTAAAGGAAACATTAAAAATATGATTACTTGCTTGTAGGTGGAGCAAAAAGAACAGGAGTATTCTGGGTACTGAGCGGGAAAACCACAGGATACAAGGGGTTTACTAAGGTTTCACACTATGTACATAAGACACTTGGTGTAAAATGAAAACTGGCAATCCATACTTAACCCCTCTCTAAAATCATCTCTGAGGCAGCAAGAAAAAAGAGCAGTTCATTATTACAAGGCTGATATCCAGCATACTTACACTGCCCATTCAAGCTTCTCATTCTTGATCGAGTTGTATAAAGCCTGTAAAGAGAACAAATAATATCCAATTACTGTTTTCATTCAATCCTATATTCTGAATCCACCCAAAAGTCTAGAAGTCTGCATGTGCAGTCAACACCTTCATTCTCCAACCATCTTAACTGAATGGCCCTGTTATAGTTTGTGTCTGGATGTCCCCCCAAAGCCTCAGGAAGTCATGGGGCAGACTTTTAGAGTTGATGATTGATCCATGATGCAATGCTGCAATTATGGGTGTGAGTGCTACACACGCCCTGGGGCGGATAGTTTGCATACAATGCAAGGGAAGGAAAGAGGGTTGCCGCCATTCCTCCTTTTTGTTCATTTTGTTTTGCTGTCTTCCACCACCATGAACTATTGCCCTGTGCCATGTGCCACTCTGCCTTGGAGCCAGCCAAGTATGGACTGAAACCTCCACAAACTGTAAGCTAAATAAACCTTTCCTTCCTTAACTTCGGGCATCAGGTATTTTGTCTCAGTAACAAGATAAAAGTAACAAAGACAAGATCCCTTGTCAGGATCTTGGCTCTGAAAGTTGAGGATTCTCAGTGAATCAAAGGAGCACAGGGGAGGCAGAGTTTTATGAAACAGAGATGCTTTTACAAAGTAAAAAAATGTCTTGATAAATAAGAGACAGCACTGTATATTACATCTCATCATGACAAAATTGGGATATGATTAAAAATAGACTGCACATCCTACTTCTCTCATTCAAAACATGATCCTATAGTTCCATTCATTTGGACTTTGGTGGTATTCATATCTTTCTCATTAATGGAAAAAAAAACAGCTGTTTTCATAGTAATTTAATGAGTGGGATACACAGAAGGGGACTGAAGTTAAATATGGAAACACATTTTAGAACAGAATAGAGTTTCTATGCCAATGACCTAAGCAGTTTTTAAGTAGTGTTCTAATGTCATACTCTATATTACACCTGAGTGTCATGCTGGTGTGTGTGTGGTGGTGGTGGGGACAAAGGCTTCTTCAGACCTGGGTGACAGTAATGGCACAGCTAAGTCACTGTGAGACAGCATACTATTTTAGTTCCAGCATTACATATAAGGTCAACTTACTCCAATGTAACAGCTTTCCCAGAAAATGCTTTAAATGTCGGAGAAGACATTATAATGACAACACAAATTCAACTCTAAGATATAAAATTACAATAGAAAACCACATTAAATACAAGAACAATGCATAATAATATGATGAGAGTGTTGGAAGATTTTTCCTCAGAGAAGGACTTGGATCTATTGGAACTTGAAGGTTTAGCAAATATTTCATTTACTGTAAGGCAGGATAAAAGGGCTGAGATCATCCAACTATTCATCTTGCAAATGAAGAAAGACAAGTTTCAAAAGTTGTCCAAGCAGGATAACAGAGACAGAAACACTCTGTATTTTTATTTTCTGCCTCTTAATGCATCTTTTCCAAGTGTCAACCTGCAGCTAATAAGGAATTCCCTTCAAAATTTAGTATACCTATGTGGAGAGTACAAATTTTATATTATTAAAGATCCAATACATGTGTCCTTAGCCAAAGTCTTCACAGGCTAAGCAGAAGTTCTCCAGTGTAGCTGTAAGAACTGAACTACTAAATAACTACGGTAATAAATACCAATCAGGAGACATTTTATCCTTATTAGGAGATGATGTCCTTATTAAGAGATGATGTTCTTATTAAGTGTCCTCAGTCAACATAAGGATATCACAAACTATAATAAAATAAATTGAATCATTAAGACCATGCTACAAGGTGGATATCTGAAGAACCCAAATTTACTAAAGAACTCCAACAGCCTGAAGTATTGCTAATGTCTCATGAAGCTGAACTCCTTAGGAAGTGCAAAGCTTCTCATAAAGGGCTATGGCTAAAGGGCTTTCAAATGGATTCTATTAATTGCCAGAGCCATTCTGAACCCATAGGTAATAGTGGACTGACAAACTGCAATTGAAAGGAGACAGATCACCAAAGGCTCTTTATTTATCATCACACTCAGTATTACCCAGAATAACTGATGGTGCCGCACAAATACTGCCTTAGTTACTTTTCTCTTGTTGCTGAGACAAAATACCCTGATGCCCAAAACTAAGAAAGGTTTTAATGATAAAGATAGTTTAAAAATTATAGCTAAGTATCTAAAAGTTTCCTAATACATTCAGTTCTGCCCTACAATTGTTTTTCAAACTGTTTTGTCCTTCAGAAATGAAGTTCTAAATTTGAAGACTTTTTGCTACTCCATCAGCCAAATATCTCACAATGAAAATCTAATGATAAAATATCTTGTCAAATTCAATACACTTGCCATATTCTAGGTCAAGTCCTCACGCTGAACGTGTAACATAAAATAGATTTGTTCTTGCAGCACGGCAACTCTGAAAGGTTAGTCCTATCCCTATTATCTTCATTGCAGAAACTACAAAGAAATTTGCCTGATTTTTCTTATTAATAGAAAGATGCTTTGCAATGGTATCCAACACTTGGGTAGCTTCACCACAACTTCCTATCTTATATCTGCTTAGCTCAGTTATGAATTTAAATCATCTGATTCCTCTTTCTTCTTTCTTTCTTTTGTCTTTCTCTTTCCCTTTCTTTCTTTCTTTTTTTTTTCTTTTTTCTTTCTTTCTGTGCCAGGAATTGAACTCAGGACCTTGCACTTGCCAGGCAGGCACTTGCACCACTGAGCTATATTCCCAGGCCTCTTTACTTCATGCACAACTATCATCACTTGCTTTTCCATGTAGCCCAGACCCACGGTGTATCATATGGTCTATCATTGCATCTCCTCTTGTTAATACTGAGAATCTCTAATGCAAAAAATCTAAAATCTGAAATGCTCCAAAATCTGAAACTTTTAGAACCACCACCATATCCCACAGCTGGAAAATCCTGCACCATGAAACACTGTTTCATGCATAAAACTGTTGAAAATATTGTGTAAATTTACCTTCAGGCTATGTATATAAGATGTATGTGAAATATAAAGGAAGCTCATATTTAGACTTGAGTCCCATACCTCAGGTATCTTATCATGTATATGCAAATATTCCAAAACCTGAAAAACATTGAAATCTGAAACACTGGTGGTCCCAAGAATTTCAGGTAATGGCTAGTCAATCTGTACTTTCGACTTCTTTGTTCTGTTGTCTTTCTGTCATACCTAAAGAGGGACTATGTAACTCGTAGCTAATCCTATCTTGACTTCTCCATACTAATATTCTATATGAAAATTAAGACTTCTCTTAGCTTCAAACACAAAATATCTAAATTCTAACCATGTTAATAAGAGGGACCTAACAGTTTAAGTAGTCAAACCCTAAAGAGGTATGGATGGAACTGGCTTCAGAGATTCAATAATTTAAATTCTACCCCTCAGCTTTCAACTCTTTTCCTTTTCTACCCTACACATCTCCAGTTCTTGTTTTTCTGTACACAAGAAACTGCCTACTACAAGCAATGCCTATGTACACCCTGATGTGTTTAAACATGGGAAAACAAACAGTTCTTTCTTCCTGCTCCAGCACGACAAGTCCCAGTCAGAATGCTACTACGGTGGTTTAGGTCACTTATCGCGTGGAGCACTCCACGTGCTAGGTGACAGAGTACAATGATTTGCTCCATTCCTGAAGTTAAGGGCCTGGGGGGATCAGTAATTGAGATGATAGCATTAACTCAGGCACTAGTATATCCCTGGGCTGCACAGTCTTTCCAAATCATATGTGACTAATTCAGCACGACTAGAAAATGCTAATGCTACTGGGTCATCATCACCTCAAACTTCAACACAGCCATCCATCATGAGTCTCTTTAACCTCCGGTTATTTTCTCTTAAATGTGTCTGTACTGGTCTTCATGATAGGGGAAGAAATAACACAAAGGAATCTCAAAACCTAAAGAGGCCCAAGAGCATGAATCAAATACTTCCTTAAGTATTTGCGAAAGCTAAAACCTACATGAATTAATTTCTCTCAAAGTCCCTCAGCTGTTTTCACAAACTTTGACTCTGAAACATTTTATTCGCTGCCTTTACCTTCTTTTCTCCTTCTTTCCTCCTTCTCCTCTTCTTCCTCCTCCTTTTCTTCTTCTTCCTCATTTTATTTGATTTTTTTCATGTTGGGGATGGAACCCAGGGCTTTCCACATGTTAAGCATCCATTCTACCTACTGAGTTCAATTCCCAACCCTTGTTTCCATGTTTACTATCAAATGACTGTATTTTTTCCTCCTAAAATCAAACCTAACAGCACTGCATATGCTGAGCCTAGGCCAATGCTCTTGTGAAAAGTTGACAGGGCTGGTGCCTCTTTTAGAATAGATTCACATAATGCTGGTCATTGTAAGAGTCTATTCTTAAAAGATGAGCTTTCAAGAAGAGCCACCGTTGCTAGGACACATCTTGAAGTTCCTTTGCCAGTGAGAATGACGGGCTTGCTTCAGCGACCCCACCCTCACTCCACTTATAACCACAGGCGTGTGTTATATCAGGGCCTGAAACCGGAGGCGCAGCCTGCAGCTCAGGAAAAACAAATCTGGCAGAGCTAAGTAGTCTGGCCTAGTCCAACAGGGCAAGATTTGTGGGTAAACACTGTCCTGGAAGGCTGTCCACTTCCCTGTGGTCATGGACTTGCAGCGAGAGACACAAGGAGAAAGGTATCACAGAAGCCCCTGTGGATTTGTACAGTGAAGTGATAACTGCCTGCTGGGGAGACTAAATGTGCAGCCCTAAAAGATGTCTGGCTTCTAATTCTGGGAATGTTGGTATGTTATCTTACATGCAAAAGACTTCAAAAATATGACGGGGTTAAAGAGTTTGAGAAGGGAAGAGCGTCTGGCTGGGCCCTAAATGCATTTTAAGCATCTTCATAAGAGAGCAGAGGGTGATTTAAAGAGAAAGCAACATGAAGAGGATCAGAGACCAGAGCGGCATAAACTAAGCCAGGGCACGAGGGCAACCTCCAGAAGCTGAGAAAGGTTAGGAGCAGACTCCCTCTTAACCCTTCA